CGCGCAATGCGAGCTTGTACCTCTGCACTCGCCGAGATATGGCCACCTGTGTAGCCACATATATATGTTCTATTCAAGGCAGCCACTACTGGCCGGCAATAATAATGGTGGCACTTTTGCCACTAGATCGGATGAGGAGCTTTGATATTCACGATATCGACTGCATTTCATTGGATGTACACTCATATGCGCTGTATACGTACGGGTAATGCCATGATGTGCAGCACTCCTCGTGGTTTAGCATTTGTGTGCAGCAGTATCCGCATGAACTGCTTCAAACGACACTTGATTGTCCAAGGGTCCGGGCCTTCTGTGGTCAAATCCCATTTTTCTGTGCAAACAGACTGCAGGAACCACGGTACGTCCAAACGGTTTGTAGCCACGTGTTCACAGTTCTAGGTCCGCGCAGGTTTGCATGATACGTGTGGCGGCCACTGCTGATCGGTGTGTGNAGAGGTACAAGCTTTTGGAACTGCCACTATTGGACGCCGAAAACAGGCGAACAAGATCGACCTCGGACCAGTCAACGCCAATGATATGGGGATGGAGTGTAGACGCATCGTAGAACGCGTTTTCGTTTGAAGTTGACGTCTTGTTTGAGAGTAGATGTGACAGATTTGCGTAGAATAGGGTAAGATGTTATCATGAACGGAGATGAAAGGGCTTTTCCAACACGGGGATGTAGCATGGATCAAAGCATTTGTTGGATTTCAGCTTTTACAAGCGGACATCAACGCAGTAGTATTTTAGCAAGCTTACGAACGCATATAGGATACCATCAGGATTGTCATTGGTAAGTTGAAGAGGAGATACTTTTACGATGTAAATGACAGTAGAAATAAGTCCTACATATGTTGTTGTACTTCGTATTGGTTTAATATTCATGTAGAGTATGAGACATTAAGTGAAAGTTTTCTGAGGTACATCTGCAATTGTCGGAAGGCAAAAATAAATAAATATTCATGTAGAGTATGAGACATTAAGTGAAAGTTTTCTGAGGTACATCTGCAATTGTCGGAAGGCAAAAATAAATAAAATAAAAATAAATAAATAAAATTGGGTGTGTGTGCGGAATGCCCAAAATGCCACTATTGAGGGCCCCGTCCGCAATAGTGGGAAAGTGCCACTATATCGGGTTGAGATTTTGCCAAGAGAATTTCATGCCACTATACCGGGCAGTTCACTATTCAGGTTGCCGCTTTATCGGGCCACCTACTGTAGTCCACAGCACTGGAGGTTAGGTATAGGTTTTCGAGTTTTTGTGGAAAGATGTTAGAGTTTTAGGCGGAATCGCCCCTGCCTGGAAGATCCGGCGTACAAAAACTCGAAAACCCTAACATCTCTTTGGGCTGTTGGACCTTCCTGGCCAATCACATGATTACGCCGCTTGTTCGATGTTCGATGTTCGAGTCCAAAAAATTACAGGACCCACCCACACCATCATCACCAAAACCGGAAAAACCGGAACCGCGACATTGCCATGTCCTTCAACAAATTGTATAGCATATTTCATTCACGATCCAACGGGCTCCTCATTCACAACACCACGACGGGAAGACTATTTGTTCATCCGCGATCCAGGGCGATCTTTCTCAATCAACACATGAGTTGCAAACGCGTGGCATACAACGCGATCACATGCTCAGGCGCATCACCTGTAGCACGTGTGCTAGCTTTTGTGCATATTACTGGCGGTCGATCATGGAAACCGGCGTCGACTTGCAGGTTCGTGATAATCGATAGGATTTGGTCCAACCCATGAAGCTGGCCGGATATCGCGTTTTGGTGCAGATCAAGTTGGTGAGTTTCGGCCGAAGATGTATAGACACCAACGTGAGGGGTGTGGATATGTCACGTGTTTGGCAATATGGCCAGCGGCGTGTGTGTGTTGAGGAGCACTCTGTGTGGTGATTGTCTCAAACAACATTTGAACAACTAGTGTAGAAGATCGGGACACGATCCGACGGGTTGATCACTTCTGTTCCTCCGCGATCCTCTGCAATCTATAATTCCACGTCCTATGATGGAATCCACTTCGCCGCAGGACATGTATGTACGTACCACGTGTCTGATCACAAGGCGGCTGGCGGCTTCTTAATGAAGCCACGTCCGTGCGGTGGCTTTCTCAAATAACGAGAGGGCAGCAAGGGGAGAAGGAGGGGCCACAATCCGACGGGTATGGTGCACGATCCGACGGGTATATCCTTAGACTATGCGCGATCCGGGGCGATCTTTCATTCCATGACTTGACACGTGCGGAAATAAGAATGTGTGTGGTCACACATCGGGGCCGTTTCACAATGGTCATGTTGAGGCCATAACACACTTCCGTGCTTGCTTCAGTCCACGCTTGGTCGGCCGATCATGGGAACCCCGCGTCGACCTAAGGTTGGTTCGCGATTCTCGGTAGGAGGTGGTCCAGCACATCCAGCTGGCGAAATATCGCGTTTTGGCGCACATACTGTGCTCAGTACCTCGCACAGGCTCACCAGAGTATTGACAGAGCGTGCATGTGTTCTCTCCCGCCTCCATATAACTCACGTTTGCTCCATGCCGCAGAGGCATGCCGCAGAGGGGCCCAAACATGGGATCCATTTTTGGGGTAAGTGTTAAGGAGTGTGGCTGCTAGCATGAATAAGGTACATCTTGTTGATAGCATGCGGGTCAGTAAGAAGGTATACCCTTCTGACCCCCCATAGAATTGTCTACTCTGTGTACCCCCTGAGATGAAGTTGGATCCCCACTTCATCTCAGACCCTTGCTGATCGTCTCTCAGCAATAACAAGCGACTTTCCCATCTCAACGCGGTCGTGGACAAGCGTGTCAACGACAGAACCTTCATCTATCTCTAGGAGCAAGCTACCGCCCACGGCTTCACCTCCTTTAAACTTGGCGTCAGCGGCCATAACACGGTAAGCGGGTGCTGGACGCGGCTTCCACACTGCTGTGTGTTGTTGCCACGCTTTCTTCACAACCACCGGGTTGCTTGTTATTTGGTCTCACCACCCACGAGAATCTAGACTTCGCCTCTTCTCTGCTTCCTCTCCTGTAGAGATGCCATATGCGAAGGTGTAACGATTCAGGTAAAAGTCAATAGACGGATACCCTGCGAATCGGGTCCTCCTTTACACTCTCCACCCACAGAATTTACCCTCAAATGGGAACCTCTTGTGGCCAGGATGGGTAATTCGATGGAAGTGCCACAAGGTTCTTTGTAGGATCGACTCCAAGAGGTGTTCTTAGGACTGACACACATTGTGTCCATGGGAAAATGTCCAAGTCAGGAGGAAGAGTGTGCACCCGAGGATATTCGAACCAGTATCCAGCTGACGCCATAGGGCACGCCGTGCTTCTGGGTCGTGATAGTTGGATGCGCTTCAACCCTCGCGTGTTCACCTCCCTCCCCCACCCTGGACCCGACGGCCGGGTTATGGGCGAGCTCACGCTCTCTCTGCGTTTTACAGCTGGCGCTTGCGTTTACGCTACACACGACGACGCTCCTACCTCCTTGTTTCACCTTACACATGCAGGGAGCTCGGGAATTTCCTTGGGGCCGGAGTCTGCATTCGTTGAGGTGGACCTCGTTCGTTCTTCTGGCATGCCTGCGCTGATGGGAGAGTATCTGGTATCGTTCAAACCGGAAGTGGGTGCGCTTTCGTCCCCAGATACGTTCGTTCCAATGGTCTCCAGCGTATTCCCCTTGCAGGTTGTGCCGAGCTGGAGCCGGGAGACATTATTGGAGTGTCTGCCGCGCCGCTTCTACGAGTACCGGTGGACACCCTGGAGGCGGCACCATCTTCGATTCCTACCGGCCCCACAACATCTACATCACCACCTCGGGTCAACGTCGTTGGCCCCAAGTCCGGGACTCACCGCCCTCCGGACCCAGCCTCCGCCCCGCCTCCTCCGAAGCTGCCTCAACAAGAACTGCTCGACCGCTTCTCTGAGGCACAGCGCTCCAGTTTCATGCGCTTGTGGGACAGGCTGCCCGCACATATGCACGACATCGCTTTCGATCTACACCATCCGGGATGGACACCGGAGGCTATTGATCGTTTGGCCGACGCCCTTGTGGAGTATTCTGACGTGTTCTCTACTTCGAAAACCGATTTTGGTTCCTGCACCATCATGCCGTTCACTCTTTCTGTCCCAGCAGGGACGAAACCCGTTGCATCACGCCCGCATCGTATCAACCCGTTGATGCAAAAGAAAGTGGATGCCGTTTTGGACCAGGATTTGGCGGCAGGGCTCATTCAACATTCCACATCTCCGTGGACTTCCCCTTTAGTTGTCATCCCCAAGAAGGACGGATCGGTTCGCATCACCGTCAACCACAAACGTCTCAACGCTCTGGTGGATTTGGATGGACAACCTCTCCCTCGAGTGGACGGTATCATGGATTCTCTGTACACCGGAAAAGTGTTCTCCATCTTCGACCTCAACTCGGCTTTCCACCAGATCGTTTGTGATGAAGACATTGTCCCGCTCACCGCCTTTTGCACTCCCGCGTAGTTGTTCGAAGGGCTTCGGATGCCGCAGGGAGTCAACGCAAGTCCGTCTTGGTTCGTCAAGGTCACCAACAGAGTGGTGCACGGTCTGGAGCGTGTGCTTGCTTATCTGGACGACGTCATCTGTTTCGATGAAGAACCTCTGGGGCACGTGCTCAACATGATCAAACGGCTGCGGCAGTACAACCTCAAACTGTCTCCAGGGAAGGCCCGCGTCGGCGCCACGCACGCCAACTTTCTCGGTCACACCATCTCTCCGGCCGGTGTTAGCCCTAATGGCGTCAAGGTTAGGGCGCTCACGCACATGCCGCCGCCGACGAATGTTAAGCAGCTTCGTAGCCTTCTCGGTGGACTCAGCTACTGCCGGAAATTCCTCAAGAATCTCGCCACTAAGGTGCGGCCCCTCAACTCTCTTCTCAAACAAGGCGTCCCCTTCAAGTACACCCCGGGCATGGTCAAGGTTGTCAAAGCGTTGTTAAGCGAACTTGCTCGTCCCCCGATTTCGGTGTTCCCGGATTGGGCAGCGGTCGAAGACGACAGCCGTCGTCTCCTTTTGTGTTCCGACGCGTGTATCGACGGCTTTGGCGCCTCCTTGGAACAAGAACAACTCGATGGCTCGGTGAGACCCATTGTGTACATCAGCCGCGCAGCTCTTGCTGCGGAACGTGACTGGACCGTTCTGGATCTGGAGGCTGGTGGCATTGTTTGGGCCATCAAACGCCTTCGTGGTTATCTGTGGTCGACCAAGTTCATCATCTATTCGGAACACAAAGCATTGGAGAGCATTGGCAAGGTTGGGGAACACAACGCTAGAGTACAACGATGGCTGGAATTCCTGTACAACTTCACCTACACCCTGAAATATCGGAAAGGTTCGGCAAACGGCAACACGGATTTTCTTTCGCGGTTGCCTTTTCCAGCACAAGACACTGACAAAACCGGCCCCGACTGCATTGATGGTGCCGATCAAGCGGGTGTTTTCCTCATTCGGGCTTGCGGGCGCAACTATCACTCGTCGTTTACGCCGGAGGTCGGTTTGGGTGGGTTCCGCCCTCCTTGCCCGGCGGGAGTCTTTTCGCCCCCAGCGTTGCAGCCCTCCGATTTTGAGGATTTTTGCCGACATCACCCGCGTCGGTTGGATGCTCTGACGGACTCAACGATTGCCTGCGAGGATACTCAGCGGTCCCCGGGGGTCTTCATCGTCTCGCCTGTTCCCGCATCTTCAGGGCCTACTTCCCCATTGACTTCTGCTGCGTCCCGCGTGAGGTTTACTGCCGCGTCTTTGGCGACTACATATGTGCACGTTTTGTCTTCGCTTCCGGAGCGGGAACCGCTCATGTCTTCACGGGTCTTCATCGTCTCGCCTGTTCCCGCATCTTCAGGGCCTACTTCCCCATTGACTTCTGCTGCGTCCCGCGTGAGGTTTACTGCCGCGTCTTTGGCGACTACATATGTGCACGTTTTGTCTTCGCTTCCGGAGCGGGAACCGCTCATGTCTTCACGGGTCTTCATCGTCTCGCCTGTTCCCGCATCTTCAGGGCCTACTTCCCCATTGACTTCTGCTGCGTCCCGCGTGAGGTTTACTGCCGCGTCTTTGGCGACTACATATGTGCACGTTTTGTCTTCGCTTCCGGAGCGGGAACCGCTCATGTCTTCACGGGTCTTCATCGTCTCGCCTGTTCCCGCATCTTCAGGGCCTACTTCCCCATTGACTTCTGCTGCGTCCCGCGTGAGGTTTACTGCCGCGTCTTTGGCGACTACATATGTGCACGTTTTGTCTTCGCTTCCGGAGCGGGAACCGCTCATGTCTTCACGGACTCGGACCAAGACTACGGCTGTTTCCGGAGGCACCGTCACCGGTCCCGCTTATTTCGGACGCCAGTCACGGGCTACCATCGTCCCTCGGACATCGTCGCCTGCCCGTCGCTCTAGCAGGTCCCGCTCGACAAACAAGACCACCCGGACCGCCGCGCGACTGCTGCAGCCATCCGCAACGCCGGCATCGGCGTTTTCGTCGATTGCTCCTGCGCCACCGGTGTCTTCGCCGCCAGCGGCGTGCCCTGCATCCCCGATTTCGCCTCCTCTACAGGTTTCGCCCGGGACTTCGCCCCTCATGATGTCCCCTTCGCGGACATCACCACGGACTGCGGCTGCCCCAGTCGCCGAGGCTTCGCCTTCTTCAGCCTCTTCCGTTGGATCGCCTGATTTTCTTTCGGAATCTTCTGATCTGGATACCTCCCACTTGCGGGCTTGTGTTCAGAGTTTCAGCACTGTGGACTGGGCAAGGGAAAAACAGCGGGAGAGTGAGTGTGTGATGGCTATGCGTTTTTTGTCTCGCGGTTCTCCCTCCCCACCCCCTCCGGGCTTGCTCACCCTCTGTGCTCCTCTTCGCTCCCCTCGGCTAGATGATGTGCTTGTGTTGGAGGCGAAAAACAGACTGCACACGACCGATGACAACATCACCCTCTTCGTACATAAATCGGCGACGTCGCCGGTTGGGCGCTCTGGCGGCAGGACCACTCGTCTGCCGGATACTGGCGTGCCCCGTGTCTACGTGCCAATGCCGATGCGTCCGTGGGTCCTTCATGCATGCCATACCGCCGCCTCATTCCATCTCGGCGTCCATCGTACACAGCGTCTGCTCGAGCGCTTCTACTGGTGGATTGGTTTGGATCGTTCCGTGCGCTGGTTGCTTCGGGCGTGTTTGGTGTGTCAAGCTTGCAAGACTTCACGTCAGACTACTCGGTGGCCCGTCATCGCTATACCATTGCCGCAGGGGCCTGGTGCGGTCGTCGGCGTCGACTTCTTCGGACCTTGCCATTGACTGCCAACGGCAACTCCTACATTTTGTTGTTCACAGACCGTTTCAGTCGGAGAGCCGACATGTTCGCAATTACAGCGGTGGAATGTACGGCGGAAGGGACGGCTCACATCTTCGTCAACCAATACATGACCAAGTGGGGATGTCTGACTACGTTATTGTCGGACAACGGACTGCATTTCTGCTCGAAGCTCTCCAGGCGATCTACGAGGTGAAGAAGATCAAGAAGGTCACCACCAGCTTCTACCACCCACAGACCAATGGCGGCACAGAACGCGTCAACCACACGATGGCCCAGATGCTTGCGGTGTTTGTCAAGGAACAGCAAAACGATTGGTACGTACATCTCCCGCACGTTGAGTTTGCCTACAACAATTCCGTGGACCAGTCTACTGGATTGGCGCCAAACGAGGTCCACATCGGACGCATCCAGCGACTTCCTCTTTCGGTATTCGATCATCCCACGTTGGTGGTCATCAAAGCTTAGTCCGCGATCAACTCGAGTATTGCAACCTGGCTGTCGATCGCCAGCGCCGGGCCTACAAACTTGTCCGTGAGTACAACGCCCTGAAGATTTCGCGAGTCGAACGCTGAAATTCATCCCTGCTGGACGCCATTCACAAGCTCCCTCAGTTTACCGTTGGCGGGTGGGCTTGGGTATACAACACGGCTACGACGATTCGACAGGGTGTGCAGAAGGACACGGACCAACAGGTGCTCAAGGCCAAATTCTCTCTCTCTTGGACGGGGCCCTACAAAGTTCTTGCCGTGGGTCCCGCCTCTGCCGACGCCACTCCGGACGGCCGCCCGTTACCGCGTGAACTCCTCTACCTGGACCTGCCTTCCGATCTTTCCGGCCCGGCAGCTCGTTGTCGCGTGTCTGTCCTTCGTTGCAAGCCCTGTCGCAATCCGTACGAGACGGACGACTTGCCGCAATCACTGCCCGCCGAGCTTTCGCGTTATGTTCCGCACTCTTTCGGAGATAAATGTCCACCTTTCCACGTCACCGCGGATGATGTGTCGGTGCCTGTCGGGCGCCTCGAGGTCGACTACATCTCGGGACATAAACTGGTGCGGGGCCGTAGCGGCGTTCTCGCCGTCCTGTACCAGACGCATTGGTTAGGCCTGACTACTCCTTCATGGGAACGGGAATCCGACCTTGATCAATTCCGCCGACACATCCTCTTGTACTTGTCCCGGGAGGTCTGCCAAAGCAAGCACGGTAACCGTACATGTCGAGTGGCTCGGACTCGCGCGGCATAGCGGGAGCTAGCTTGGAACCGTGGAGAACGCTATTTATTTGCCTCCTGGGGCTGATCTTGTGCTTCACGCGACTCGGCTTCGTCGTTCAGCACTTCGCCCCTCCCTGTTGGCGCGCGGCTGTGGTACAAGGCCCGTGATGGGTTGTGGTGGACCGGACGTATTGGTGCTCATCAGAGCGGATCGTACATCGTTCGATTTTTGGATGACCCGGGCCCAAGCGTTCTCCCTCTGCCTGCGCACCTCTACTCCACCACCTTGGACGCCGTCTGTGGATCATGGTGTTTAGAGAAACATCGTTCGCGCCCTCTGGGCGACAACCGTGGTCGCACTCCGCTCCTTGCTGACGCCTTACCGTCGGCAGTTCCCACCATTTCTTCTTAGCGTCGTCGTTTTCATATACCAGTCGGCCAATTTTGGTCTTTTGTGCCATCCTTCTCGCCGACGTTTTGATTTTGTTTTTTTTGTCACCTTCTGCTTTGTTTTGTTTTTTTTTGTTTTATGTCCTGTTTCTTTTCTCTAGTTGTCTTATTTTTTGTTTTTGGACGCTGGGGCAACGCCGCCTCAAGACACGCAGTGTCGAGTGATCCTTCCTTGTTGCCGGCATTCGTCGGAATCAGTGAACTGCCGCGACCTGGATGTCCGTTTTCTCTCGCCTTTGCTTATTTTTTTTGTTGTTGCTGATCTTTGGTTCTCTCGACAGGCTCCCCCCGAAGTTTCGTCGGTGTTGTTTGCCTCTGAATACTTGGAAAAAGAGTTCCCCAGATCTAGTCGGTGTTGTTTGTCTCTGAACACTTGGAAAAGAAGGTCCCCACGTTCGTCGGTGTTTTTTTATTCGGGACACTCGGACACCGAGTTCCCTGCGTTTGCCTGGTTCGCCTGTTTGCCAACTAATGCTGTCAACATATTTTTGTTTTTGCTCCATCGTGCCGCAGAAGTGTCGCATACTCTTGGTGCTTCGGGATTCCGTCCCGTGGCGTCGCCTTCTCCCGTGGGTTGTCGTCGTCACTCACACTTCGTTCTGCTTCGTCTCTATCATCGCCACCTTCGGGCGCCTTCATCACAGTCGCGCCCCTGAGTCGTCGTCTTGTTGTGTGAATCTCGACGACTTTTCTGTGTTTTATGTCTTTGTATGTACGTATCGCCAGCGAGCCATGGCGCAGTTCGTCGACCGCCTCTCTTGCATCAATCGTTTGTGCTTTGCATCCTTGGTCCCCTTTAGGTCTTGCCCTTGCCGTCTCCATATACGAGTTGGGTGCCCTGGCACGCTGGCAATCGTTCTCCATGCCTTTGCCTGTCGTTCTTTTCTCCTGCCCTTCGTTGACGTTGTCCTAGATTGCGTTGAGTTTTCCTTTTTCGTCGCGTCCAGTATCAAAGGCCGTATTCGTTCGGAAATTTGTTTGGGTTTTGAGTTTCGTCACCGTATTTTGGACTCTCTCGGGTAGTCACCCTCATTCCTCCAGTGGGGATACGCGCAGGTGCGCGTAAAAGAGTGGTGTGTGGCGTTTGCACATTGATTTTGTTTCCTCTGTCGCCGTCTGTTCAGGATGATAGCGTGCTACGCAGCAATATAAATTCTTCGTAGCTTTATCCGTTCAAGCTTGGTCATTAAGATGTCGATTTTCCGTCTCGTGACCATTCGCATTCTTCATCTCGATGATGGTGTGGGGGGTTGATTCGGGATATTTCTACAACTCACCCTCCTTTTGGATGTTAATGAGGAGTCATATCTTCGATTCATGATCATAAATTATCAGATAAATCTTACTGTAGCTTTTAGGATTTGAGCATTGAATTGAGTATAGAATCTGCACATATGATATTCAGGGTGGGCTAGTGTTAAGGAGTGTGGCTGCTAGCATATATCTTATTCTTGATAGGATGCGGGTCGGTCAGGAGGTATACCCTTCTGACCCCTACCCCCTAAGAATTGTCTACTCTGTGTAGACTACCCCCTGAGATGAAGTTGGATCCCCATTTCATCGCAGACCCTTGCTGATCGTCTCTCAGCAATAACAAGCACCTTTCCCATCTCAACGTGGTCGTGGATAAGCATGTCAACGACAGAACCTTCATCTATCTCTAGGAGCAAGCTACCGCCCACGGCTTCACCTCCTTCAAATAAGTCTGTTGCGGTCAAATTCAGCATCGGTTTACGTTATTTTTTCACTCATCAAACAAGTGAGTTAACTCTCGGGATATCACCAAGAACGGGATCTCGGGATATCACCAAGAACTGACAACCGCGGACGCATCGACGTCCCAGGAACCGTCTCTAGAGTAAACCACACGCCGGTCGCCTCCTTCACGGGTGAACACTAATCATCTCAGGGGTAGAAGTGGGATTCTCGATTCTGGAGGTAGGTTGAGGTAGGCCTATATTTTTTCAACAAATTCATTTCATCAGAGCCTCCTCCTGTTGTTTCGACCGACGCCAGACACACAAAAAAAAATTTTGGAACGGGAGGTCTCGCCAAACCCTTCTTGGGGATTAGATCGGAGGAGAAAGAGCAATGACTACAAACTCGAACAGCAAGGATTTCCCCGTTGCTGTGGATCCAACAACGTCAGGATATATTCATCGGCAATCTTACGAATACACTGCGCCAGAAAACAAGAGGAGGAATCCGGTCGTCGTTGGTTATTCGTCTTTGGAATGATTGGTTGCATGGGGTGCACTGTACCTTCCTTTGCGTGGTTTGTCACAGACGAACTTGGTGGTGTCCTACGGCGCAAAGGTTTTTAGTCATCTTTATTGCACATTCCCATTGGTCGTTCATGAAACGGTACCAATTTTCCGTGGAATGTTCGAACGACATATATGTGCAAATTTTGTCGGGATAGGCATGTATTTTTGAAAGCAAGACGCATACCGCTCAGGAAGCGAGGGAACAGGAGGAGAAGGAACACGGTGGCATTCTTTTTCCTGTTCCCGAATTCATTTTCTCCCAATTGTTTTCGGTTGATTTATACATGTAGAGTACAGAAACGTCACCATGACTCGCTGCTACAGTGCCTAACTCCATAGTTGGTCGTCATACCGCAAATAAATCACAAAAAACAGCACACAACTAAGCAAGCAGAGAAAATATGAAATTGCCGATATAAGAAATTCAGTAGGATCTGGCGGCACGAAAAAATAAGAAACTTGACATCAGAAATCGAACGACATACGCTGTGTTTATAGTTCACAACAAGAATTCGAGGCTGGACCTGAAATAAGCGTTTCTTAATTGCAGCCGCTAAGTGTAGGTTCAATACCCTCACGGGATCAACCTAGGAAAGGGGGTACCCGTCCCTCACGAGGTTTGAGTGCCCTCGCGGGTCTAACCTAGGGCGGGGGCGGCACTCTCCCTCTTGGGTTTATATTCCCGGCGTGGTATGATCTGTTGAGGGAGAGGCATGCGTTCCTCTACCTCCTTAGCATTTCACGTTTTTCAACACATGTATGCTGGGGGGTGTTACGGCAGCAGAACGCGTGCTTACTGTGATTCGGTCACACTGCGAAGTGTATCGATAGGGCTAGGGTATATCTCACCACATACCTGAATCAGTTGCGGAACCCCCACGATTCCGCCACACAACACGCGACGCTTGTCGCGGCCAGGAACGAAGGAAGAGATCTACGCCAATTGAGACCTGCTCAAGATGTAAGTTGATGTATACCTAGTCAGACTAACGTCGGACGTACCGTTGGCTAGCTATCTAGGCTAGGCTGTACAGACGGGTGCTAGATTTCGGTACCGCTGGCGTGTGGCGAGGCCCTCCTGCCGGCGCAGGAGGCCTCATCCAACCAAATCCATACATTCGATGATGTGGGAAAGTATAATATGACAACAGGACTCATTGCTGGGGGCAAAACAGTCCGGAAACAACGACCGGTACATAATTCAAACATTGAGCGCGGGCGTGCTCTACGTTCTTTCGATGGAGACTACATTTTCGACCGTCTCGCAGACCGATTACCAGAGATTGCAGGCGACTCATGGCCGCCTGCCAGCACCACCAGCAGCAGCAGCAGCAGCCACCGTGACATGGTGGCGCACATTTTGAAGATCTCCTTTCTGAGCAGCTTCAGCCGGAGTAGCAACTGCAGCCGCACCAAGGCGATGCGTAACCGCATCCGCCGCCAGTTGTACCCACCACAGTTCAACTTGGCGAACAACAGCAAATCGCTTCCCCAGGCTGTGTGAAAAATCAGCGCGAGTTGTCGGAGTGCAAATGGGTGGGGGGTGCCCAACATGTGAAACGAGCTGCAGGGTGAAGGAGCGTGTCAGGGCAATCAACGCCCGAGATTCTCCAACGCCTTCACCAATAAGAACATCTATTTTCGTTTTTTCATCCCACCAGTATCATTAACTAGTCTCCATGTATTTGATTCCAGGCTGGTACGCAGCCAGGTTCTTGCGAAATGATTCGCATAGATGTCGGTGTTCTCATATCAATACATAGCAATCGTGATTTGTAGCAAGGGCATTAAGGGTTTAGTGCGACCATGGCAATAGCAGTGATGACAACCCAAGAATCTACCATACGTCACGCGAGGAACAGCTGTTTACTGGATAATTACCAAGTTGAACTCGATCAATTTGAACTGTCTTTGAATTGAGTAGTAGTCATCG